AGATGAGGCGTAAGGAATGACCATGCCCATGGTCCTAAGCATCACCATCGCGGGATAGAGGCGGTTGATACAATAGCCATAGTACATCCGCCCATCTCGCAACAAGTGGGAATAAAACCACGAGTGCGAGAATGTACTCGGCCGGACTTACCCGACATAACCGAAAATAAATGACACCAAGGATTATGAAAGGCTTTATAGTAGGGTAGTGACTCATTTATGAAAGAAGCATTTTAGCATTTCAAGAACCTTTCTAAAAGCATTATTGTCAAGTTAATTATTATTAACACATCGACTAGATTTGCACCTATACTAAAGTAAACATGTGATTAAGCAATTAATGATAACCACTGATCATTAAACAACTTCCATACTGTCATATTCACTATAAGCTGTCCAAGTGTTCCATAAACATTTACTACGATGAAGTAACTCAAGTCAAGTGCTCACTATCCGGGAGCGATGGCGATTCAATCGATTCCTAACCACCGGGTGATTTATTCCTTACACAAATCTCACTCACCCGCTAAAGTGAGATATTGATCACCGAGTCAACTTTCCGGTATCTCGAGTTTGCCAGAACCACATGTACCGGGGGCCGACCGATTTGCACTTTGGTCTTATCATCCCGCCCGTGTCCTACCACACCTGCCCGACACAAGGTCTTGGCTGCCATGGCAATCTACTCGGCCGAAAAATCTCCCGGCTTTCATGCGGTCGGAAGGTACTTTATCCGGCCAGCTAAATGTAAGGCATGCGTTCAACATGACTCGAGGCCCAACAACGGTCGGTCCTTAATCGACACAGACGGAAACACTACAGTCCAAAACCCTGCAAGTCTCCGCCCGGTCTCAACTTCATTCAACACTTAGTTATACCATGACTTCATAGTCATCCAAACAGATCCAGGTAACCACCTATAGCTCGCAGGTGACAGGAAATCACCCGACTTCTACCGGTCTAAGCCAGCTAAGCATTGACTCGACTGCGGATACCAGGGTAACAAGGATATAGTATAACAAAGGTAAACAAGGTATAATGCAGCAACGGTTGCAAACAACTCCTGAACGTAATGCATCAATTTAAAGTAAAGAATTTAACGAAATCATTGCAAACCGGGAGAAAGATGCTCCGGGGCTTGCCTCTCTCGAAGGAGCTCGGACGGTGATCGGGGCACTCCGGAAGTTCCTCAACGTCCTCCTCGTCGGCTTCTGGCACTTCCTGCTGCTGCGCCTCGAGCTGCTCCTCGGGCTCCTCGGTTATGACGACTGGGTTCTCGGTTTGCGATCCTGTATGATGCAATGCGCGTAAGTGATTATGCAAACGGTGCATCGAAGGAGATGAATGCAATGGATATGTTTAAATGCAAGGTAGTCAACATCATCCACGAAACTATAATACAAGCACATGTCATCTACTGCATTCTCTTCTACTACTAATATGTTAAGTTAACCTATCTTATGAAATGCTTCAAAGATACACCAAAGCTTTACTAATTTCTTAATCACACTTAAAGCGACACTTGCTTAAACCCTAATTAATAATAGGTTTGAATAGCAACATATATTTCTGATGCTCCTAAAAATCTGAGAAAATTACAGTAGCATAATACTACTCTAAACAGACTACCATAAAAATTTCATGGCATTTGGATAAGTAAACTATCCTACACAAAAATGACAAGCTATAGCATGAAAATGAGCATGAAATTACTTTGTACTATGAAAAGTGTCAAACAACAGAAATAATATTTTTCCTAGGTTCTTCATAGCATATAATGGCTGTACAAAAATTATCACATGCATGTTTTATACAAAATTTGTGCCCTAGCAAAAATAACAAAAATCAGCCATTAAAAGTACTTGAACTACACCTCAAAATTTTTCCACAGAACATGCATGAAATATATTTTTCCTAGGAAGTACATGACATAAGAAGATGAACAAACTTGAAATCATATTTTTCTGAAGCCTATATATTTCTATACCCATTTTTCAAGTTATCAGCAATATTCAAGATTAAATAAAATCCTATAGAAAAGTATCCCAAAAATGACATGCAATAATTTTCCCTAGTAGATCTGGTAATAAGGAACCTAGAAAAATTTGTTTCAACAAATTTGGAGCAAATTTGACCATCCAAACATTTTTCAAACCATTTTTGATTTCAAATAACAAATAATAAATAGAAATCGATTCATTTAAATGCTACTGGGCCGGCCTGCGGAATGGAACTGGCCCACGGCCATCACCGGCCTGCGCGGCCCAAGCGCGAGGGAGGGGGAGTCGGCCTGGCTCGGGGCTCGGCCCACGGCCACTTGGCCTGGCCGGCCTGGCTGAGGCAGGGCCATGCCGGCGCTTGCGCTGGCACGGCGGCGCGGCTCGGCCACGAGGCCGGCGGCCATCTCCGGCCGAGGCAAGGCGGGCTAGCGGGCGCATGCGACGCGCGAGAAGATGGTGAGTGCGGTAGGGCAGCTAGGCGGGGCTGGAGAAGAGGAGGAAGGCGACTCCCATGGCGGCCGAGCACGGCGGCGCCATGGCCGTCGGTGGCGAGACGTGGGGAGGCGTACCCAGGGCTCGGAAGGCGGAGCAAGCTCGCGCGTGAGCCAAAGGGAGGCGAGGCGGAGCTGCGGGCGCGACGAATTGAAGAATGGCTCGGTGGTGAGGGAGTTAGACGCCGGCGGAGCTCGGGCTCGCGGCGAGGGCGGAGGGAAAAGCAGCGCGGGAGGAGTGGGGGCAGAGCGCGTGCGGCTGGCAGCAGGGCGCGCTCCTCTTCAAGTCCGCCAGTGCGCTGCGCGGTCAGGGCTAGCCGGGCGCGTGGCGGACACGCGGCGGGCGTCGCCTGACGCGCTCGGGACGTGGCGCGGCGACGGGCACGGCGCGCGGGAGAAGAAGGCGCGGCGCGCGGAGGCAGGCCGGGCGCGGCGCGGTGCTGGGCTGGGCCGAGCGAGGCGAGGCGCGCGCGGCGCGCGGGAGCTCGCTGGGCCGGCTTTGTTGGCGGGCCAGAAGCGAGGCGGCGGCCCAGGAAAAAGGAAATGAAGATTTTCAATTTATTTTCAAGAGATTTTTAAATGCCATCTTTCAAACATTATTTTGAGCAAGAAAATGACCTCTTTTGAAAATGTACCAAAAATGAAAGTTGCTTAGAATTTAATTACCTACAACTTTGCTTTTATGACCAAAGTCCAATTCTATCTAGATTTTAAATTATCGAATCAAAGTTAAATTTTAACTCAAAACCCTAATTTTGGGAACTTACTTTGGAAGTAGAATTTTAAATTAATTTGAATACAAACCTTGCTCCAAAAATTGTGCTAAACCATTCTAGATGATTTATAAGCATAACCAACAGTTTCTACTCAACTAGCAAGCAAGAATCAGAGCAAAACAACCATAATAAGTGTATGTACCATTTACGTTTCACAATCATGTTTCGTATGTTTCGAAGAAATATTTCAGTTATTATATGCAAGATTATGCATGTATGATTAGGATGCTTGATGATGCATGATATGCATGATTTGCAGTGCCTAAATGTAGGCATAACACCGGGGTGTTACAGGAGCTTAGTGCTGTTGCTACTAGCATGTGTAGGAGCTCCCCGTGCTTGAAGTACTAGTTACATAGGTTTGTGTGACCTTACTTCTAGAATTGGTTAGGTAAGCTCTAGCTAGTCTGGCACCTTAGTTACTTAATTAGTATCTTTGTAAGGTGCTAGAGAACTTAGATAGAGTGGTGTAATCTTGGCTAGATCATTAGTCTTAATTCCGCATTTGTTTTGGTTAGCCGGTGTAATTAATTTTAGAAAGGACTATTCACCCCCTCTAGTATGCCATCTTGACCCTACAGCTCCTCGCCAGCCCCTCTTGGATGCTTGAAGTAGATGACGTAGGCGTGATTGTTGTCGTAGATGTCGTAGATCATCCCCTACTCCAAATTTATGGCAAAGACGATGTCGAAGATGCCGATGTTAATGGCGATCCCCCACTCTAAATTAACAGCGAAGGCCAAGTTGAGGATGTCGATGTTGATGGTGCCCTCCTCCACGCTCCAAACCAATAATGAATAATGAAGGCGAAGTCGAGGATGCCAATGTTGAAGGCTATCCCCTTGCTGAAGTGTTGGCGTGAGCGGTGTTGATGATGCCAAAACCGATGGTGTGGCCATTTGACAAAATATTGGCAAAGGTGTAGTCGTTGATGCCAGTGGCGAAGCACCTCGCTAAAACGTTGGCAAAGGTTGTGTCAAAGATGCTGAAGTCGGTGGCGAAGCTCCTCACTCAAATGCTAGTGTGTAATAATGGAAACGCAGCTGTACAAGCAGAGCCCTTCAGAGATCCTCTTAAAGTGTATCCTCTCCAGCATAGGAAAGGACTTGCTCCACGACGTCCATGTCGACGTTTGCGAACATCAGGCAGCCTAAGGGCTTTGTTCGGCAAAGCATTTCGGTACAGTTCTACTAGCGGACGGCCCTCGACGATGCCAAGCATATCGTGAAGGCCTGCCGGGGCTGCCAAACTTCGCTCGGCAGACACGCCTATACTATAAAAATATATTCTACAATTAATCTAATAATAATATTTATTCAGTGTTATAAATATTTATATTTCTTATATTTGATTAAATTTTAAATATTTGGCTTTTCAAAAGTGACAATTATTTTTTTTATGACGGGGGTAGTACAGTACTTGGATTTTGAATTGGACAACCATCGCATGAGTTATGACAAACATTGCGTGCAAGCTAGGCGGTTTCAGTTTTGGGAAGAATTAACTTGGAAAGTAGTAATATATATAAAATATAATATAATAAAACTAAATGAAGCTGGATAAAAAAACAGTGGTCCCCGAACTCTTAGAAGCAGGCTTTACCGCCGCCCATAAAACCCTCCATCCAATCTATTCTCCCTTCCATCTCGCCGAGTCGCCCCCTCAACCCAGAATTTGAAACCGACCTATACCTAGGCCTCGTCTCCGCATCCCACGCAAGGAAGCCGCTGCCAATGGTGATCACGCGCTCCGCCGCCCGCCGCCGCCGCTCTATGGTTTCGATTTCCAATCTTCTTACTCATATTTTGCTTCGTTGTGTTTTTTTTTCCAGGCTCTCCCCAATCAGCAGACGGTGGACTACCCCAACTTCAAACTCGTCATCGTAGGCGATGGTGGCACCGGTAAATTGCTGATCGAGTCGCACGATTTTTTTCCTGAATGATGAAGTCCTTTTTGTTAGTTGCTAGTTTCCCTCCCGATTGGTGGTTTCTGGTAATTTTGAGTTAACTAGTTTACAATCAAAGGTTAGACATTGTTTTTACTGCCAATGCGCGGGGACAATCGGACAACTGTTCTGCGTTGCAGCTTTGAAGTTAGCGTCAATCAATAAACAAAAAAGATGGAGACTACTTGGGCTTCGCCACACGTTTGGATCTCAATGGGATTATGAGAATAAAGTATCTTCTATTATCTAAGCTATATCTTGCATTCTGTGATTTTCAAAATCTGTGTCTTGAGATTTTTAAAATCTGTTCTAGAAATTGGTCTGTTTGTATGGATATAGATTTTTTTTTATCAGATTCTTATAATCTGCTTGGATCCAAATGTGGCCTTATTTTTGTTAGATGTACAGACTTGATAATTTATGATAAATATTTTGTTTGGTTTCCTGTGTGGCTGTGTCTCTTCTGTTTACCCCTCGGGTTTGTCTATTCCATTATGAAAACATCCATCTTTGTGTCTTGTAGGCAAGACCACCTTCGTGAAGAGGCATCTGACTGGAGAGTTTGAAAAGAAGTATGAACGTGAGTATCTATCTTCTTTTAGAGTGGATTATATATGTAGTTATCTGATTGATCCTATGGTAGTTTGTTGTGGTGCTTAACTAATTTGATTGATCCTATGGTAGTTTGTTGTGGCGCTGTAACTAATTTGATTGCTGCTGCAGCCACCATTGGTGTTGAGGTTCATCCCTTGGATTTCCACACCAACTGCGGGATGATCCGCTTCTACTGTTGGGACACCGCAGGCCAAGAGAAGTTTGGTGGGCTCAGGGATGGATACTAGTAAGTATTTAAGAGCAGCAATGTCGATCAGAACTTATTGACACAAATATATGAAACGATTGTTGTTGGTTTATCTTTATATCACTTGTAATTCTATGTGCTGTCACATGTTAGTAAAATAGTGTAATCTTGATGAAGTGGGTTTTCATGGTTACATGTGCTAAATAAATGACATACTAGACCATTATGTAATTTTAAAATCAGACAGATTTCTATGTATATATATTGCAAGGCCGTATTTTTAAAATCTTTATTATATTACCTATTGATGCTTCCAAATTTCATATTAAAATCATGGCATTGTATTGAGAGTGATTCAGTAATCATGTTTTTTGAGTTTATTTTGACAATCTGTGGTATTTTTTAACTTTTGTTTAATTCCACTTTGTGTGCTTTTAATTACTTCTACTATAGGTCCTTGTTTTGTCAGATTCTATTTGCTCATGGTTCTGTTTCAATGATATATGATACTTATTGGTTGGAGATATTTAATTTGGAGTTTTGTGCTTGCTTATTTCTTTGTAGCTTTGCCATAATATAACTTGTGAATTGTTGTACACGAGCACTCAACCTGTGCCCTGATATCTGCGTTTCTGAAAGCATGGATATGAGCACAAATGCTTTGAGGATTTTGACATGCTTCTTATGTATCTTTTACTTTACCATTAACCACCATACGTATCTGTGATTTTTGACATATCTTGTTACTTGAGATCCTCTTGTTAACATTTGTCTGACTTATATTTATATATTGTTGTATTATGTTGCATTAGGCAACTATAACTGTAGTTTTATATCGTCTGCAGTATCCATGGCCAGTGTGGTATCATTATGTTTGATGTTACTTCACGGCTGACATACAAGAATGTTCCAACTTGGCACCATGATTTATGCAGGTATACAAAGAACTGGACTTAACAAATGGTTTGGTCGTCTAAGCAAATGGTTACATACTAAAAACCAAGCATTATTGTTGCAGGGTCTGTGAAAACATCCCAATTGTGCTTTGTGGGAACAAGGTTGACGTGAAGAATAGGCAGGTAAAAGCAAAGCAGGTGACATTCCACAGGAAAAAAAGCCTGCAGTACTATGAGGTCTCAGCTAAGAGCAACTACAACTTTGAGAAGCCTTTCTTGTACCTTGCCAGGAAGCTTGCTGGGTGAGTCTCAGTTAGTACCCTTGTTGTTTTTCTGCAATATATTTTATTGGAGTAGGGCCAAACCAACGTATTTTTTGTTGTGTCAGTGATTCCAATCTTCGCTTTGTTGAAAGCCCTGCTCTCGCTCCTCCTGATGTCACAATTGATATGGCCGTCCAGCAGCAGTAAGTGTTCTACCTTGGAAACCATAATTTCTCGCCACCTCTTGTTGCTGAATCTTCATACTGCTTGGCTTTTTCAGGCATGAAGCCGAGCTGGCAGCTGCTGCAGCCCAACCATTGCCAGATGACGATGACGACCTGATCTAGTAGATGTTGCATTATGCTGCTTTATTTACATGTCGCCCAATGAGTCTTGTTCTGAGATCTGGTGTCAACTTTGGGACGATGGAATTTTTGTAGCTAGGAAGGTGCTTCCATGAATGTTTTCACCATTGAGACTAGTTAGGTTCCAGTAGATGGTGATGAACTTGCTAAATTGCAATGCCCATTTGCTTTGATTGCCCATAAAATGTCTGTTTCCCCTAATTTCGATGTTATCAATCACCCATATTTGTACATTGTTTTGGCTCTGGTAGTTAGTTTGGTTGGCTCACCCAAGAAGTCTTGGCCGGTTAACTCTGCACAAAGGGTGTGTTTGGTTCTCACACGGCCTGGCCCAGGCATCAACGCCTCGTGTTGGATGCTGCTGCCTGGCGTAGGTCCCCAGACCAGGGTCAGATCCAAACACCCCAAAGTCACTCTGAGTCTCTGAGGGTGCAATCACATTCGTTGCCGATAAAACCTGCATACCAGTTGAGCTCACAACGCACGATAGGTCAATGGTCAATCACTTGAGCTATGTGGAACCTGGGGTTTAAGGTGTTCATTGTACTCCGGGTTTAAGGTGTTCATTGTGCCGTGGGATCATTGCCTTCATACAGATCCTAAGGCTAAGAGGGTGCGTGGGCTTAAGTATGAGTTGCACAAAGAAAAAAGAAAGTGTTGTCTGGTTTCCTTTGCAAAGTAATGAAAGGTTGTCAAAATTGCGTGGGTTTAAGTCTGAGTTGCACAAAGAAAAAGAAATAGTCTTGTCTGGTTTCCTTTGAAAAGTAATGAAAGGTTGTCAAAATGAGCTAGTCATCCTGTTTCTTAACATCAACCAAAATGAGGGAAAATTAATACCGGCTTTGCCAGAAATTGAAATAAATCAGGTTTAGACGGTCATCGAAAACTGCGAATTGGACCAAGCAAGATGTAACTGCAAATTCCGGTTTTGACGGTCATCGAAAACTGCGAATTGGACCAAGCAAGATGTAACAGCAAAATGGATCAAGCAAGATATAACAATGAATTGATTAATCAAAAATGAAATACGGAGTATATGTCAAGACTTGTCCAAGTTTAACAGTGCTAGGCTAGACTAAGATATATAAACCTTCTGATGGTTCCATGGTGTGTGGCGATCAGCACTCTAGCAATTAGACAGCGCTAGAGCTTCTGTATCCAAAATGCATCAGCACTCCCACAAATGGACGTCCAGACTTCATCAGCAATCCTAGATGATAAGTATCACGCTATAAGTTTACAGGTAGGACAGAGAAAAGCATAATAAGAAAAATTACACTTCAGGGAGCGGTATTAGACTTGTAAAACTGTAACAAAAGATACTTGTTAGACTGGAAACACAGTATGAGAAACCATGCAACCTCATTGAGAGAGAAAAGTTAAATATTCTTGTATCTTAAGCCAATAACACAAATACTTGATGAAGATATTTGAAGTGAGAAAATGTGAGATTGTCTGCATTAACCATCCGAGAGCTTATGTGGTGTAAATATAATGTGATTCAAGATCCATTTAATTCAATGCAACACATACGCATATTTGCTATATTAAAACCGTTGGCCTAAGCTAGCTCCTTATCTCCGATGGTCAAGGGTGTGGACGTTAAGTCCTCGTCGAGGTGAATTTGGGTTTCTATTTTATTCTTAATTCTTAATAAAATATCATCTAATTTCTCTTAGGTTATAGTTCTTTTTTTCTAAAACCACTAGCTTACCATACAACGCCAACTGGACATGCTTCTTTGCATGTACAACAGCGCCTTCAAGAGCTGCTATGAGAAATCAGCTATAACTAAGTGCAGAGCAACAAATAAGCCTCAGTTATTCAAACTGAATGTTACTATTAATCAGTGGGCCTAATGAAACCAACAATGACGACAAATAATAGTGGTAGGTAAAGCTTATGTATTCCATTGGACTCGTCTGATGGTCATCTCTTGTCGTGGGATCGGACATCGGAGAGTTGCGACGGCCTTGTCAAGGACCACTTAGTGGTGGATTTAGTAGTCGAATAGAAATCGGAGAATATAGCTTGATTAGTTGATGACCAAAATTTAGTTGTCAAAATCAGCACAACCTGAGTCTTTTACTGTTGCCAGGTTTGCTACTAAAACTTATCAACATCTCACATTTGGCTTATCTAATCTTTGGCAAATATTTTTCTCCAATTTTTATTTGCCAAATCTGTGCAAAGCAAATTTTGGTAGGCAACCAAACAAGCCCTTAATATTTTTAGCTTACATATAAAAAACCCAATCTAGTTCTTTTTCGATCTGATCCTTACAATTGACAGGCCAACATTTTTTTTTACCATTTTACTAAGGCTAGTTTCAGAACTCGCAACCATGAGCCCGTGATCCACTTGATCATCCTGATTACTGAAGTCCTCGTCCTGTCAAACCGGTCAATAAACAAGGTCTGCTTCGCGAATCTCGTTCAAACAGAATCCTGTAAGAAATGCCCTTCCCTAATCATCACCAAGCTTTAAACAACTGCAAAACAAATCTAGTGTTCTACCATTTGCTGTTTTCCTCTTTTTTCTCTGGTATTATTTGGAATTTAGTACAGCACTAGCGTCCGGACGTCTAAACGCATGCATCCGTCCAAACGCCCACGGTTGCTCCGCCCCATCCACCACCCACATCAACTTCGTTTCCCGCGCTCGCATCCGAACCTTCCTCTTCAGATCCGCTGCCCATGCTACTCGGATGACCCACCCCCGCCTCTTCCACACTAGTGCGGTGCATGTCTCTTCCATGCCGTCCGGAAGAGGTGGGGGCAGTCTTCTCCCCACACCGCCGGCGGCGGCCTGCGCCTCTTTCACGCGTCGGTGGCCGCGGCTTGGCCCTGCCCGCCCTCATGGACACCAACGCCGACGGTCTGCATTTGCAACATGAAACACTTGAGTGCAACATACATTTGAACATATGAAATATTTGGGACATACGCCAACATGTTTGTGAAACATGTGCAACATGCAGATAAAATAATTGCAACATGAAAAAACACTTACTACAAGACTGAAACAGCTAAAACATTTGGAACATACTGTTGCAATATATGTGTGAAAACATATACAACATCTAGATAAAAATGATTGCAATATACGTCTTGAAACAGATGAAACATTTTAAACAAATGCTTACAACATGCTTTCACACGCGGCGCTGGTGGCGGTCGGTCGATTCTAGCTGTCGGGGTCAGAGCCGGTGGCAAGCGGTGGCGCACGAGCACCACCGCCACCAGCGCCACCAGTACCGGGCTTGACTTAGTGGCTACGCTGGGGGAGCTCGGTTGTCAGGGTGAGAGAGGGCGCCACTGGGGGTGGGGAGGGCGCCGCGCCGGAGTGGAGAGAGCTGCCGGATTTGCGAGCGTTGGGGGCTCATGGTGGGGGAGAACGCCGGACGTTGATGTGCTGCGTCAGGGGATGAGGAGCGCGGAAGGGGTAAGGGCGGGAGCGGAGCGAGACGTGTAGGAGTTGATTTTGTTTCTTAAGGCAAGCGACGCATGCAGCAGCGAGTGGAGCGAGACATCCGGCTTTCCGGACATCTTAATAATAGCATTACCGATAACGGATTTGTTTGGAAGGTATCTACAACTTCCCATGTGACATGTTAGTCACGCCTGGGCCTTATATGAGTGTGTTTATTTCTCTAGCACAATTATGTCATTAATATTTTCAAACACGGGCATTTTTTATTTACAGACAGATCAAGCGTCTTTGTTAAATGGTCCCTGTTAATGGATCATTTATATAGTGTTACTCAAGATTCAAACACATGATCTTCAACTCACATAACACCTCTCCACCGTTGCACTACACACAAATTTATGAGTATATATAAAAGAGTTTTGCTCTTGTGGTCCTCTTTTAAAAAGTTGCACGGATCTTAAAGCATTAAGGTAATTAATTTAATTATAATTTTGTGTTTGGATCTGGACTGGCCCGTAGCCATGTCCAACCCAAGGCCAGCCTTCCCCACTCTCTGTTCTTGTTCTCTGTATCTTTCGATCTCCCGTTATATCTTGTCGAGAGGGCAAACGGAGGCGGCACCAGCCACCGAGGTGGTTCCTGCGCCGCATCTCTGCTCTGGCGATGGTCTCGTAGTGCAGGCGGACGGCACCGGCGGACCGGGCGGACGGTGAGTCAGTGACGGCGGCGACTCCTTAGCCGCGCTGCATTCCCGCCGTGGCGCTGGTATCTAGTGGATGCAGACGGCGTTGGAGGTGGACGTCTGCTGTCGCAGACAGCGGCGGAGGGGTTCGAACGGTGATGGCGGTGGCTCGGCAGGTTATGCGCCGATGTGCGAAATCATATGATTCTTTGCTGCTATTTCGTTGCTCAAATGGACTAGATTGATCTGGATCGAGGCCACTCACTGAATATTGATCAATGTATATGGTTCATCGATGATAGTTGTTGCTAGTGCGTTACTCGAATTAACTGAAGTGATCTTAAGTACGATCAGAGTAGCACCTAAAAGAAAGGATACGTGTTCTTTTTTTTGTTTAGGTCTCTGAATGCTGATGGATGGTACAGTTAATTTATCGTGAAAAGAAAGGATGGGTAAGATATGTTTGTTGGCTTTCATTTCTTGTATGATATTGTAATTCTCGAAAGGTGCCTAGATAGGAGGCGGCTATATATTAGAAGAATCTATTGTAATCAGAGTTGGTTCTTGCTTTGCCCAGATCTCCCCCCTGTTAAGCATCCTCTTGTCAGGAGTACAAGAATTATTATACTCCTTGGTATCTGAGGAATCAAGGTCATAGCAAAACAATGGTGCTCTTGTGCTAATGTGCCAATGTTCTAGTAGTAGTGATTAGTAACCTCTCCAGTAGTATTTGACTGTTTGTAACTCTTGTTGTTTCTGCGTGATTTTTGAGCTGATCAACAGAACAAGTAACTTGAATTGAAACGAGCTTGAATTAGAACTTAGAAGTGCTGATTTTAGCTAGCTAAAATTGTGATTAGCTCAGTGT